CTTTGAGCCTTTCCTTGTAAGGGAGGTGCTCCAATCCTTTCATCATCTTAGTTGCCCTACGTTGGACTCTCTCCAGTAGTTCCCTGTCCCTCTAGAACTGGGGAGCCCAGAACTGGACACAGTATTCCAGTTGTGGCCTCACCAGTGCAGAGTAGAGGGGGACAATGACCTCCCTCGACCTACTGGCCACATTCTTCCCTATGCAGCCCAGGATTCCATTGGCCCTCTTGGCCACAAGGGCACATTGCTGGCTCATGGAGAGCCTGCCACCCACCAGGACTCCCAGATCCTTTCCCTCAGTAGTACTTCCCAGAAGATCCACCCCTAACCTGTATTGGTGCCTGGGGTTCTTCCTCCCCAGGTGTAGGACCTTACAATTGCTCTTGTTGAACCTCATTAGGTTCTTGTCTGCCCAGCTTCAGCCTGTCCAGGTCACGCTGGATGGTGGCACAGCCCTCTGGAGTGTTGGCCAGCCCTCCCAGTTTGGTGTCATCAGTGAACTTGCTGAGGATACACTCTGTCCCCTCATCCAGGTCATTAATGAATAAGTTGGGCCAGACTGGGCCAAGTATTGACCCCTGGGGGACACCGCTGGTTGCAGGCCTCCAACTTGGTCCTGCTCCATTAATGACAACCCTCTGAGTTCTGTCACACAGCCAGGACTCAATCCGCCTCACTGCCCCATAGGTGCCCGGACAGCTGGCACTCATGGGTTGCGAGTGCCCTTTTTGGGGTAGTGTGTGCCCACCTGGGGTTGTGTGTGCACATCTGGGGTGTGTGCCCATGAAAGGGCTGTGCATTCTCACCTGGGGCTGTTCCTGCCTGTAGGAGGCTGTGCACGTCCAGATGCAGTTGTATGTACCCCTCATCCAGGTCATTGATGAATAAGTTGGGCCGGACTGGGCCAAGTATTGACCCCTGGGGGACACCGCTGGTTGCATGCCTCCAACTTGGTCCTGCTCCATTAATGACAACCCTCTGAGTTCTGTCTCACAGCCAGGACCTCAATCCACCTCACTGCCCCATAGGTGCCAGGACAGCTGGGTTGTGAGTGCTCTTTTTGGGGTAGTGCGTGCCCACCTGAGGTTGTGTGTGCACATCTAGGGTGTGTGCCCATGAAAGGGCTGTGCATTCTCACCTGGGGCTGTTCCTGCCCATAGGAGGCTGTGCACGTCCAGACGCAGTTGTATGTATTGCCTGTGCAGGGATTTGTGCCTGTGCAGGTTGTGTGTGTGTGTACAGGGCTGTGCACTCTCACCTGATGTTCCCTGTGCCCGTGCAGGGGTGGTGCAACACCAATGCAGGGTTGTGCATGCTTGTGCAGGGATGTACGTGCCCACGCAAGCTTGTGTGTGCCCCTGGGGTGGAGGTGTGTGTGCACGCACAGGGTTGTGCATGTGCTTGTGTGGAGTTATCCATGAGGGGTTGTACACACTCATGTGGGGTTGTGTGTACCCACACAATGTTGTGCACACCCATGTGGGGTTGTGTCAGCCCGTGTGGGGTTGTGTACACCACACAAGATGTGTGTGACCATGTATCACCCTGGGGGGGTGTGTTCTGCCACTTAGACAGTCAGTCCCCCCCGAAGTGAGGTGGCACGGGGCCCCCAGTGCCCACCCTGCAGGAGGAAGAGGGTGAACATCAGGGCGAGGTGCCCTGGGTAGGGGATGGAGCTGGCTCCTTCCTTAGGTAAGGGTCCTCAGGGTGTTTGTGGGCCCCTCCATGCCTGGAGGCTGTAGCAGACCACCACCCATGCCACCCCATGGCACCCCCGTGAACCTGTGGCACCTGGATCCCATCACCAGCCTTGGCTGGGACCCAGCCCGCCCCCCTGTCAGCAAGAATCCCCCCAAAACCACCTCCTCTCCACCTTGAGCATCCCCAAATCTCATGGGGCACCCGCTGCATCCCCTGTTACTCGGCTCCACTCTCATCTCCACTTAAAAGCTGACCTTTGCTCCCCTGTTTGATGTAATGTGTTTTTGCATCTGGGTGCCCCGCAGATAAAAGGTTAGAGGTTAATAAATGGTGGAAAAATAGATCCCGACACTCGGAGGTCACACCTGTTCCGGGGGCTGGGGGCAGTGGTGGCACGCGCCGGGTGGGATCCTGCCTGCCCTGGTGGGAGCAGAAGTGTGAGGAGCACCCCAGGGTCCAGCAGAGCTGCGAGTGCTGCTCAACCTGGGTTGTCCCCCCCGGGATGGTGGTGGGCATGGTCAGCCGTTGCTAGTTTGGGGGGGGTTTGCTCCTGCTTTGACAAGCCAGGAGATGGCAGGGGGTGGGAAAGGGTTGGGTGTGGAGCAGTGGGGGTCGGAGCTCTGCTGCAGGCAGGGGAACGCAGGCAACGCCTGGCTCACACAGCTTTCCCAGGGCAGAAATCAAAGCAGCCCCCGTGGAGCTCAGCTCCGAGCCTGACCTAGTTACCGGAATCAATGGCTTGAGGAGCTCCTGGGAAGGGGCAGGCGATGGAGAGCGGGCACAGAGCGGGGCAGGTAGCACCCTGGTGGAGGGGAGGGACAAGGTGCTGGCACCCATGGGTTGGGGCACCCCAAGAGCACCCTGCTGCAAAGTGGTGGCCAGAGAGCAAGGAAGGGGCAGGGATGGAGCACCATGGAGCATCTTGGAGCTGGGCAATAGCACCTGTAGTGAGGGTTAGGGGCAGGCAGTAGCACCCGTCTGTTAGACAAGGGACAGGCAGCTAGCACCCAGGGGTTAGATGGGGACTGCATTAGTTGTGTCTGTCCAGTGATGGGAACTGTGGGGTGTCTGTAGGAGCATCCCTGCATCCGTGTGTCCCCATGTCCCCCATCCCTGCGTCCTCACATCTCCATGTCCCCCAGCTCCCTGCATCCCCACATCCCTGTGTGTCTCCGTGACAGAGCGGGGCAGGTAGCACCCTGGTGGAGGGGAGGGACAAGGTGCTGGCACCCATGGGTTGGGGCACCCCAAGAGCACCCTGCTGCAAAGAGGGGATAGGTAAGTGGTGGCCAGAGAGCAAGGAAGGGGCAGGGATGGAGCACCATGGAGCATCTTGGAGCTGGGCAATAGCACCTGTAGTGAGGGTTAGGGGCAGGCAGTAGCACCCGTCTGTTAGACAAGGGACAGGCAGCTAGCACCCAGGGGTTAGATGGGGACTGCATTAGTTGTGTCTGTCCAGTGATGGGAACTGTGGGGTGTCTGTAGGAGCATCCCTGCATCCGTGTGTCCCCATGTCCCCCATCCCTGCGTCCTCACATCTCCATGTCCCCCAGCTCCCTGCATCCCCACATCCCTGTGTGTCTCCGTGTCCCCTGATCCCTCCATCCCGACATATCCATGTCCCCCAGGTCCCTGCATCCCCACATCTCTGTGTGTCTCCGTGTCCCCTGATCCCTCCATCCCCACATATCCATGTCCCCCAGGTCCCTGCATCCTCACATCCCCACATTCCCCTGTCCCTGCATCCACATATCCCTGCATTCATGTGTCCCCATCACATCCCTGCATCCCCCCCATCCCTGCAGCCCAGCTCCCTTTATCTGCCCGGTGAATGATGTGCTCTGTTGAAAGGGGGGGGTGCGCTCCCTTTCTATTGGTTTTTAACGGCCTTTCCCAGCACAATTGTTTTTTAAACGACTCTATTTTGTGCCTGACTTTGTTTTCCAGCTTGCATTTCTTTGTATATGTTTTGGAAATCCATTCTGGACTGCTGAGTTTTGTTTCTTTTCAATGGCTTTAAATTCTTACCAGGCTCGCTGGGAGGAATTGGTGTCTATAGCGCCTTCGATTGGTGCTAATTTTTCCTTCATGTGCTCTGACTTTTACTGCTGGGCCATCGATCTGGTGGGCTCCAATTTGTCATGGTCACCCAGGCGCTGTGCTGGAATCAGGCGAGCCCTGGCTTTCTCAGGGAGCCGGCGCTTCGCGTCCCCGGTGTCGGGGCTGCTCTCACCTCCCCACTGCCCTCCCCTCGGCTCAGCACGGGGACCCGTGTCCGTGCCATCTTGACCTGCATCCTCCCAACACACAGAAGTATCCTCACCACCGTACGTGTGCGTCTGTGCAACTGTGTGCACTGCCACCGGCTTGCACGTGTGCCACTGCACCCACAAACTTGCTGGGACACACGAGGGCCAGTGTTGGGGCACACACGGCGCTGCACCCACTGTTGCACCTGAGCACAGTGCATGGATATCTGCTTTTTGCACCCACACACCCGCTGTGGGAAGTCCTGGTGCCTTGCAGGGACGTGTCAGTGCTGTGCTAACACCCTGGTCCCAGTGTGCAGCCAAGGAAGATGGATTTGGGGGCCCCACACCTGGCCAGGGGAGATGGCTTTGAGGTCCCCGTGCCCTGCTGAGGGAGGAGGATTTGGCAGTGTGTCCCTTTGCAGAGTTGCTTCACACTGTCCTTGGCCATCAATCAGGCCCTGTCTCATGGTGATGTGGCTCAGGCTGTGCTTATCAGGTCGTCGATAGCCCTTGTCACCCTGGTCTTGTGGGGCAGCTCTGGCACTTGGGGCTCCCTCAGCAGCACCCAGAGTTATGGTCCTGCCAGCTCCCCCTGCCCCAGGACTGGTGGGTGGGTGGATCTCCCTGCAGATGAGGATGTCACTGTGCTGTGACCTGTTGAACACTGGCACTGGGCAGTGCTGAGCCAGAGCAGGGCTGAGCATCCCTGGGATTTGCTGCTGCCCCCCCCTACATTGGCATCACCTTCCCAGGCTGAAACCTATAGAGGTGAAGGCCAGGGAAACTGAGGCACAGACACAGATTCTCTGCAGCAAGGGTCAAAACAGTGGAGTGTGGAGAGCCCAACACTGCCAGCATGGAGGCTGCACCAGGGGGTCCTGTCCATGGGGCAGAGAGAACCTCCCGTTGCTGGCAGAGTGGGCAGGGGAGGCCAGGGGTGGTGCTGGGTCCTGGCACAGGCAGGGTCCTGCCCCTGGCACTGTCCCCCCTCTGCCTCCTGCTCCCATGTGTGCCTGCAGCACTGACCCCTCTCTCTCTCACCCCCAGCTCTATGAACTGGACGAGGACCCGAAACGCAAGGAGTTCCTGGACGACCTCTTTGGTTTCATGCAGAAGAGAGGTAAAGGTGGGTGGTTGGGGTGGGCACTGCTGGCACCCCTGACCCCAGCTGCCGGGGTGGGGGCTCACAGCATGGTCCACTGAGGCACCGAGCTGCTGTGGGTCTCTACAAGCACCCCTAGGCAGGTCCTGTGAGGCTTCTCCCCACCATCTCCTACACACACAGGCATAAACTCACGCAGCAGGTTTGCCCCCATTCCCCAAGGCTGACCCCATCACAGGGTGCCTGCTGGCCACAGCAGCTCCCCTGAGACCCTGAAGATGTGGCCAGTGGTGATGCCCATTGCCGATGCCCACTAGCAGTGCCCGGTGGGGGTCCCCATGAGCATACCCCTTGGTGACAACCCTTAGCAAAACCCATGAATGATGCCCATTAGCAGTGCCTGTTTCCAGGGCCTTGGAGAGGTGCCTGGTGGGGATGCCCTTGGCAGTGCCCATTAGAGATGCCCATTAGTGCTCCCCATTAGCAATGCCCAGTGAGGATGCCCGTTACCAGCACGGGTGATGCTGCAGGAGTGGGATCAGTGGCCCAGGCAGCACCGGCCGCCCAGGGGTTAAGGGCTCTCCAGCCGGCCCCGGCCGCATCGGAAATCTTTGCTATCGGCATGGGGGGCCGAGCCGGCTCCTGGGGACTCGATAAATGCTTTAACCTTCGCCCTCCCCAGCCTGGCCTGCAACAATTAAAAGTTGCCGAGCGCGGGCGTGTGGCCGGCCGTATTAATTAGAGCCTTTTGCCGGTGTGTGGATTAATGAACATACCGCTCAATAGCCAGTAAACCCCAGGCAGAGGTTAATGCCGAGCTAATTAACGGGGGAAGGCTAGGGGGGAGGGTGCAGGAGCGGCAGGGCTGGCTGCGTGTGTGGGGCGAGGGTGGGCAGAAGGGGACAGTCGCCCCACGGGAAGGGTGGTGAGGGTGCCCACCTGCCTGTGGGGTGGCAGCGATCAACTTTTGGGTGGGGCTGAGACTCCTCAAACTCGTTTCACCCTGGGCTGTGCTGCTGGGGGCTGGCATGGCCTTGGGGTTCACATCAGAGCCAATCTGGAGATGGGTTGGGGGGCTGGCTGCTGTCCCACGGGTGTCCCCTCGTCCCCCTGTCCCTGGTGCGGGGCTGTGGGGAGCGAGCGGGAGCATCAGCACTGCCTCAGCCCCCCACCATCCATCAGCTGCAAGATTCATGGGCTGTTCCGCAGCTTCATTATCTCTCTTTCCAGAGCTAATTAACTCCCTCGCCATTGGGGCCGGGGCTAATTAAGCAAACGCCTGGTGGTGCAGGGAGGAGGGAGGGAGCCTGATGCTTCCCTGCCAACACTGCTCCTCATCCCTCTGTGTCCAGGTGTCCCCGCTCCTGTCCCCTTCATCCCACACCTCCTCTGAAAGGGTGGCATCTGCCCAGGGAGGGCAGGCAGGTGTGCAGGTCCGGGTGTATGAGTGTGGGTGTTGTGGGTGTGCAAATGCAGATGTGAGTGCGCCTGTTGGAGGACTGGGGGATTTTGGAGATGGGTAGCAAAGAGAAAAGGGGCAGGGGGCTGCGGGGCAGGGACAGCATTACCGGGGCCATCAGGACCTGGCTGAGAAGCAGCACCCATGAGCCAGCACCGGGTGCTGCTGGGGCACCCAGGGGTGCATGGGCAGGGGCTGCAACCCCTGGGCTGTGTCCCCGAGGTGGATTGATGCCCCTGAAGTGAGCCCTAAAGAAAGGGGCTGTGTGTGCCCCCCTGTCTGTCAGGGCATTTGTCAGTGAGGCGGAAAATGAGCGGGGCTGGGGAAACATTGGGGACCCTGTGGCACGGGGCAGGGACACTCCAGACCCAGTGGCAGGTGGGGATGACTGCTGGGAGGGATCCGGGGGAGCAGGGATGAGATGGGGGTGATGGTATCTCCCCCATCAGACATGGGGTGCAGGCAGTGAGGCATGTCATTTGCATGCCCCAGTCTCCGTGGCACTCTCAAAAGTGGTGAGCTGGGTTATAGGGGCACTATTTCTGCTTTTGCTCACTCAGGGTCCAGGACCCTCCTGTTCCTCTACCGAGCCAAGGGCTCTGCTGATAACACGGGGCCATTAATTCATCAAGGAGCTAATTGCAGCGCCACAATGGCTGCCTCACCTCCCCAGGCTTTTGTGCCGCTCACCCTGGCCAGGGCTGGGGCCATCACTCTGCTGGAATGCAGACAAGTCCCTTTGTCAGCAGGACGGGCACCGGTTGCCTGCCCCATGCAGCCCCAAGATTGATGGCAAGCCACTTTAATTAGCCACCACAGCTTTAGGAGGGGGGAAGGAGAGAAAAGAAGTTCGTGGGCTATCAGCTGCGGGCTGAGACCCTGCAAACTCATTGGCATGTCGGGGTGATGGGGAGCCCTGGAGTCGGACCCCCCCTGAGGTGATGTGGTGATGCCAGCAGCTCCCGGGCAGGGCTGGCGAGCGACCGCCAGCAGATATCGAGTCGATATCTCTTGCCTTTTTCCCAGGAGGATAAACTCCTCTCCCCCTTCCTGACCAGGCGAACAACAGCTACTAGGTATTGATTTTGTTGACACTGAACTTTAGATTAGAGCTAATTTTTGAGCACGTGTAAAGAATGTTGTGAACTTGCTTTAAAAAAGAACTCCATTGAAACATACTAAAATTGGTAGGTACCATTTAAAAAAATAACATAAACTTTATGATAAACAAATTTGAATATTAGAGAGATGCATATCTTGTTCTCTTTAAAAAAAAAAAAAAAAAAAAAGTTAAATGAACTCAGTAAAGGAATAAAAAGAGCTCATTTTTCAGGCTTATGTGAAGAAGCCGAGCCGATATCGGGGCCATAAATTAGGGATGCTGGAGGATGGCGGTGAGTGACGGCTTTGTTTGAGGTGCGGAGCGCAGCCGTGACAGCCTCCCCCGGCCAAATGGATGGCTTTCCAATAGCGCCTGTGCCCCGCCACCCCGCAGGAGGAATAAATATGGGTGGGATGGGACAGGAACGAGATGAGATGGGATGGGATGCTCATCCCTCCTCTGCCCTGCTGCAGCTCCCAACCACTGCCCGGACCATTGCCCCGAGGTGCCATGAGGCAGAGCACAGCTCTGAGGCTATTTGGGTGTCCTGGAAAAGTGTGGAGGGGGGGGGTAAACAGTGCTGGGGGCTTCTGGGATCATGCTGGTCCATGCGGGGTTCACAGATCCCTGGTGACCCCATGCTCCATTGCCCCATGGCCTTGGTGTGGAGGTGATGCTGGGGGGGGAGCACAGGTAGGGTCTTTACCGGGGACACTGGAAGGGAATTTGGGGTCAGGTCTCTTGGTGGGGGGGCACTGAAGGCCTTCAAGCAGTCAGGGGCTGCTGGGAGGATCTGTGGGGGTGGGGAGTCTCTCTGGGGATTCATGGGGATGTCCCTCTATATGGGTCTCTGCAGGTGATTTTTAAGAGAGAGAACCTTTCAACTGGGAGGTTTTAGGGTGAGTCCCTCCAGAAGGGTTATGGGGAGAGCCCCCATCCAGAGAGGGTTACAGAGTGAGTCCTTCTATAAAGTTTAGGTGGAGGTAGGTTTCTTTATGGGGCTCTGAAAGAGAGCGGAGAAAGAGGATGCTCTGACAGAAGCTGGAGGCAGATGCTCTATAGGGAGCTCTAAGAGTTGTCAGGGACAACCCTCTTTAAGGGGCTCTGGAGGAGTCCCTTTGCCCATCCCACCATGCCCCCACATCCCAGCTGAGAGCATACCAACAGCTCCATCAATGGAGACCTTGTGCCAGCATCCTGGGGTCTGTCCTGCTCACAGGTATGGCACTGCTCTCCCAGACACCCAAGGGTCCTGCCAGCACCCCCCATGCCCATGAGGGCTCACTTGGGCACAAAGAGACATGTCTTCCCCTTGGGGGCAGCTGGGACCTGCAGTGGTGGTAGGAACAAGGTGGGGGCTCTGTCCCCAAGGAGTGAGAGTCCCTCTGGGCTCACCCCATGCCCTTTTCTTTCCCCCTCCGTGTGCGGCTGGAAGGGACGCCCGTGAACCGCATCCCCATCATGGCCAAGCAAGTGCTGGACCTGTACACACTGTACCGACTGGTGACGGACAAGGGTGGCCTGGTCGAAGTCATCAACAAGAAGATCTGGCGGGAGATCACCAAGGGCCTCAACCTACCTACCTCCATCACCAGCGCTGCCTTCACCCTCCGCACGCAGTGAGTGCCTGGCAATGGCAGCGGGTTGGGGGGCCACACACTGAATTTCACTGAATTTCACTTGGATCTTCCAGGCTCCCCACCAGGGTGCTGCTTGTGGCCCCCAAAGCGGGACAGAGGGCTCTGCCCCTTCCCAGGTGCCGTCCCCACCCTGGTTCCCACTAGGAACAGGGCTGGCCGAGAGGCAGGTGATGCTGTGTCTCATCCTGTCCCTCTCCCTGAGCAGATACATGAAGTACCTGTATCCCTACGAATGTGAGAAGCGGGCGCTCAGCTCTCCCGGGGAGCTCCAGGCCGCCATCGATAGCAACCGTCGGGAGGGACGGAGGCAGACTTTCGGCACGGCGCTCTTCAACTACTCACCGGCCGGCACCCCAACCCTGCTGGGCTCCCCCAAAATGCCTCTGCCAGCTCTTAGCATCTCCACACACAGCTGCAACCAGCTCAGCCAAGTGCACGCTGTGAAGAAAGGTGGGTGAGGACCACGTGGCAGACATCTCTCCCTTGGGGTGGACACTGCTCTGGCAACGGGGATGTTCCTTCTCTGCTCTTGCCCTTTTTGCTTGGGGAAAATAGGAACAATTCTGTTCTTTTAGTCCCTCTCTGAGACGGAGAAAGGCTTATTTTGTCACAGGTGACAGGACAAGAGGAAATGGCCTCAAGTTGCGCCAGGGGAGGTTCAGGCTGGATATTAGGAAAATTTTTTTCACTGAAAGGGTTATCAGACATTGGAATGGGCTGCCCAGGGAGGTGGTTGAGGCACCATCCCTGGGGGTGTTCAAAAGACGGGTTGATGAAGTGCTGGGAGGTATGGTTTAGTGATGATGCTCCTTGTTTGTTGTGTGGGTGTCTATTTTTGTCAGTTAGGTTGACGGTTGGACAAGATGATCTTTAAGGTCCCTTCCAACCTAGAAGATTCTGTGATTCTGTGATTCTGTGATTATTTATCCTGGGCTTGGATGAGGACCAAGCCCAGATGCCCATGCTACTGGGATGGAGGTGGCACCGGTTGGGGATGGTGAGATGGGGTGGTGACGGGGGGATGTGCTGAGCTCTCTTGGTCGTTGCAGAGGATGGTGTGCTGGCAGCAGCCGTGCCGGGACGCATCGCTATCCCAGTGGGACTGGCCGGCCACCACCTCGCAGCGGCCCAAGCAGCAGCCGCCTCGCAAGCAGTGGTGCTGGAGCAGCTACGGGAGAAGCTGGAGACGGGGGAGCCCCCGGAGAAGAAAGTGGCCCTGACGGTGGAGGAGCAGCAGCGGCTGGTGCAACACGCACTGCAGCACAACCTCCTGGCCGTGGCCTCCCAGTTCCCCATGAATGTCAAGATCTCCAACCGAGGTAGAGGGATGCAACACCTCAAGCTTGGGTCACCCCATCCCCTGGCACCCCAGGAGGGAGTAGCAGCGACTGGAAAGGAGCATGAATGCCCGGAGAGACTGGAACTCGGCTTCTCTCTCTCGGGCAGGTTCTTGTTTCTGTTTCTCTTAATGCTCATATTGGTATTTCCTTTCCCCAGATGACAGACAGGAGACTGCATTGAACCTGTCCACCAACGGCATTAGCAGTATCAACATGTCAATAGAAATAAATGGAGTTGTCTACACAGGTAAATAGAAGGGCCGCTTGGCCCGTGTAATTGCGGCCGGGAAATCCAATAACTTATAGCCACTGCCTGGCCAGCAAGTCCTTCCTTCAATCTGATGTCTTTACTATAAAATCCATCGTAATGAAGTGGCAGGGCCTGGGGAGAGGGGGCAGGAGAAGGAGGGGGTCAGCGAGGCTGGAAATTGTCCCCCAGCAGGAGCTAGCAATGAAGGGCCAAAGTGGGGGATGGATGGATGGATGGATGGATGGATGGATGGATGGAGGGACTCAGGCTGAGAAGTACAAAAAGGCACCTGGGGTCATCCCCCAACCACAGGGTCCTACAAACAGGGACTGGATTTGGGGTCACCCGGTGCTGGTTTGCCCAGAGGGTCACTGGGTGGGTGTGTGGGTTGGCTGATTGCAGACCACAGTGTTGGGTGCAGGGGAAGATGTTGGGGTGGTTTGCTAGGGCAGAGGCTCCTTTGGGGTGATGGTGTGCACCTACCTGTCTCTTAGCTCACCTCGTGCCCCTAGGATCCTGCCTGCCTCACTGAGACAGCCCCAGTTGAAATCAATGGCTTTTCTTTCATGACTTACATATTTAACAAGATGGAAAGGTCAGGACTAATCAGCAGGCTGGCCTGTCAGCCAAATGGTCCTGGGCCACTCTGGGGCTGCCCCACGCAGGGCAGGGATGGCTAGGCTGGGGGAGGCACCATGCGTGATAGAGAGGACAGCCCCAGGTGGGGCTGGAGCCCCCAGAGGTGCTAGTTCCCTCTCTCTGACCTGGGTGCTGGGGGCTAGGAGAGCAGAGCCCCCAGCCCTGGGCTTGCCCTAACCCCCTTTATCTTGCTCCCCAGGTGTCCTGTTTGCCCGCCGCCCCCCAGCCCCTCCGGCACCAGGTGGAGGAAGCACCCAGAGCCGGCCGAACCCCATGCCCGCCCCGAACCCACTGGTCCCAGCCCCCTCGCACAGCCACACTCCTGCCAGCTCCTCACCGTAGGGGATATGCCCCCCCCAACCCTGAAAGCAATTGGGGATCCCCAGGGCCTGGGGGGCTCAGCTGCGTGACCCAGCTGAGCCAGCAAGATGGGATGGGGGGACCCGAAGGTGCCTCTTGCTTCAATACTGAGCTGTGTCCGTGCAAGGCTGTGAGCAGCCACGTGGCCCCTTTTCCCCCTTACCCCCCATGTGTGGGACTCCTTCCCCGTGTGTGGCCTCCGACACACGCACTATCCTTCCCAGGTGCTGCCCCCAGGTGACACCCCCCTCCCCCCCCACCCCATACAGCTCCTGCTGACCCCGCATGCTGCATCCCCTACACACTGCAGCCCCTATAGACACCCAGAAGTGTACACTGTGGCCCCTACACCCACCTCAGTGCTTGCACTGCAGCCCCTATACACACCTCAGTGCACACACCGGGTCCTTCATGTAGAATCATAGAGCTGTTGGGTTGGAAGGGACCTTAAAGATCATGTAGTTCCAACCCCCCTGCCATGGGCAGGGACACCTCCCACCAGAGCAAGTTGCTCAAAGCCCCATCCAGCCTGGCCTTGAACATCTCCAGAGATGGGGCATCCACAATGTCCCTGAGCAACCTGTTCCAGTGTCTCACCACCCTCACAGTAAAAAATTTCTTCCTAATATCTAATCTAAATCTCCCCTCGTTCAGTTTAAAACCATTACCCCTTGTCCTATCACTACACTGCCTGGTAAGGAGTCCCTCCCCATCTTTCCTGTAGGCCCCCTTTACATATTGGAAGGCTGCTAAAGGTCTCCCTGGAGCTTTTTCTTCTCCGGGCTGAACAACCCCAACTGTCTCAGCCTGCCTGCTGCACTGGAGAAGCCTTCCAGCCCTCTGATCATCTTTGTGGCCCTCCTCTGGACCTGCTCCAACAGGTCCGTGTCCTTCTTATGTTGGGGGATCCAGAGCTGGACGCAGGTGGGGTCTCACCAGAGCAGAGTAGAGGAGCAGAATCACCTCCCTTGACCTGCTGGCCACTCTTGTTTTAATGGAGCCCAGAATGCAATTGGCTTTCTGGGCTGCGAGCGCACATTTCTGGGTCATGTTGAGTTTCTTATCATTCAGCACCCCAAGTCCTTCTCCTCAGGGCTGCACCAGTCCCAGTACCGACCCCTGAGGAACACCAATCATTGCACACAATTGCCACACTCAGTGCACACACTGCATCTCGTAGGTACTGTCTCCCCTGTAGACATCTCTATGCATACTGCATTCCTCGCACTCTCGGTGCATACACTGCATCCCCTACACACTGCATCCCCTATAGACACCCCCAGTGCACACACTGCATCCCCTGTACACACCCTTGGTGCCCACATTACATCACCTGTGCACACCCGCAGTGCAAACACTGCAGTTCCTGTACACTGCAGCCCCTATAAACTGTAGCCCCTGCACACTGCATCCCCTGTATACTGACACCCCCTACTCACTGCAAACCCCCTGACACAGCTCTCCTGCACTGGTTGGGCTCACTGCCCCCACCCTGAGACACCCCCAGGGTCCTGGGAGCCCCCAGGGTGGTGGCATCTCAGCCCCCCAGGTCCTCAACTCCGGGGATTCGCCCTGGTGGGGTGGATATTGGGGAAACCGGTGGGACTGGTGGGGATGGAGCTAATTGGGGTGAGGTGGGGGTGGTATCTTAATATTGGGGTGGGGCTTCTGCACTGGGAGGAGCTTGTTGCTGGGGGCAAGGCAGGGAGGGCTGAGCAGTGCCCCAACACACACCAAATACCGCCTGGATGACGGGGTCCTCAGCCAGGGGGGGCAGAGAGATGGAGAGCACCGCACTGGGCACTCCAAACTACCTCGTTGGGGCTGTGTGGGCACCTCCCCCACCCGCTCGCACCCCTGGGTGCCAAAGCAGGCGAGCGTGGAGCAACGCTCACCTCTACCTCAGCGCGGGGGACCAGGGCTCGGTACCACCGGGCTCCCCCCGGCACTCCCACCGCGGCCACGCCACTCTGTGTATCTATTAAAGGAAATGAACTGCTGAACCAAACCAGTGTGGAGGGTGGTATGTGTTACATGCCGAGCTCCAGTGCCTGGACTGGGAATAGTTTGGGGTTGCAGGACATCCCCACAGCCTCATGAATCTGTGGCCTTAGAGGCAAGGGGGATGGTATGGAGAGAGGAAATTTTTCCTCTAGTAGAGGAGGACCAGGTTCGGGACCACTTGGCCAAACTGGACATTCATAAGTCCATGGGCCCTGATGGGTTGCACCCACGAGTGCTGAGGGAGCTGGCAGACGTTATTGCTGGGCCACTCTCTATCATCTTTGAGAAGTCATGGGGAACAGGAGAGGTGCTGAGGACTGGAGGAAGGCCAACATCACTCCAGTTGGGGTGAGGTGGGGGTGGTATCTTAATATTGGGGTGGGGCTTCTGCACTGGGAGGAGCTTGTTGCTGGGGGCAAGGCAGGGAGGGCTGAGCAGTGCCCCAACACACACCAAATACCGCCTGGATGACGGGGTCCTCAGCCAGGGGGGGCAGAGAGATGGAGAGCACCGCACTGGGCACTCCAAACTACCTCGTTGGGGCTGTGTGGGCACCTCCCCCACCCGCTCGCACCCCTGGGTGCCAAAGCAGGCGAGCGTGGAGCAACGCTCACCTCTACCTCAGCGCGGGGGACCAGGGCTCGGTACCACCGGGCTCCCCCCGGCACTCCCACCGCGGCCACGCCACTCTGTGTATCTATTAAAGGAAATGAACTGCTGAACCAAACCAGTGTGGAGGGTGGTATGTGTTACATGCCGAGCTCCAGTGCCTGGACTGGGAATAGTTTGGGGTTGCAGGACATCCCCACAGCCTCATGAATCTGTGGCCTTAGAGGCAAGGGGGATGGTATGGAGAGAGGAAATTTTTCCTCTAGTAGAGGAGGACCAGGTTCGGGACCACTTGGCCAAACTGGACATTCATAAGTCCATGGGCCCTGATGGGTTGCACCCACGAGTGCTGAGGGAGCTGGCAGACGTTATTGCTGGGCCACTCTCTATCATCTTTGAGAAGTCATGGGGAACAGGAGAGGGCCTGAGGACTGGAGGAAGGCCAACATCACTCCAGTCTTCAAAAAGGGCAAGAAGGAGGACCCTGGGAACTACAGACCAGTTAGTCTCACCTCTGTCCCTGGGAAGGTAATGGAGAGACTCATTCTAGATGTCATCTCCAAACAAGTTGAAGAGTGGGGGGTTATTGGAAGTGGGCAACACGGGTTTACCAAGGGTAAATCATGTATGACCAGTGAAATATACCCTGGGGTGACAGATGTAGGGCCTGAGGTTTCACAGCCAGCCTCACAGCCTTTGCCTCTAGCACAGGGTTGCCTAAGTTTCTGGGGTGCAAACAGTTGTCCTGAACCCATCAGACCCCTGAAGAATGGGCTGGATCAGATTGGTCACCAAATCGAGCCATGCCAGCCCATTCATGGGGCTGCTTGGCCCCACAAGCTGCCCAGTGGCAGCTCACTGATGCATGGGGGACCTCGTCATGCTGCCTGTGCCAGGCAAGGAGCGTGGCTGTGGGGCTTCTGAGGTTGCACCAGGCGAGATGCAAGCAGTGCTGGCCCAGCCTGGCACCTGGGCAGTGCCCACAGAGGGCACAGGTGACCCAGGAGGAGCTGAAATGGAGACATGAGCACACACATGGATGCTCATGGGTGCACGTATGGGAGCACGTGGGAAAGCGTGGAGACACGCAGGCAGCTTGGTCACCACAGACACACACAAATCACTTGTGATCCCTCGCAGAAACTCAGTGGCATGCACCAGAGCATGTACACTCACACACACTCACAGTCGCCCGTACGTGTGCAGAACACACACGCTTCAGCATGCACATGCCCTTGCACACGCATGCAGCCCCCCACGCATGTGAAGAGGCACAGGGGGCTCCCGTGCAGACAGACACCCCCCGACAACGGCAGCCATGAGGACAGGCCCACCCCTGGCACCCATGAAGCCAGGTACCAAGGGGACAGAGCATCACGTTTCAG